TTGATTAGCTCTAGTAATTTTCTGGTAGAGTCTTTAGGGTTTTCTATGTAGAGGATCATGTCATCTGCAAACAGCGAGAGTTTCACTTCTTCTTTTCCTATCTGGATTCCTTTTACTTCTTTTTCTGCCCTGATTGCTGTGGCCAACACTTCCAAAACTATGTTGAATAGTAATGGTGAGAGTGGGCACCCTTGTCTTGTTCCTGATTTCAGGGGAAATGCTTTCAATTTTTCACCATTGAGGGTGATGCTTGCCCACACCTAGATTTAAAATGGACATATCACCATCTTTAGGGTGTATGTTTTCCTGGCCACCTGAAAGCTGGTGTAAACATCAAGGGCACTTCATGCATTCCTGAAGTTCAGGTGCCTTCTCCTCCATAATCATGGTACCAGTATTACACCTAAGAACAGTAATAGCAATGCCACAATCTAACCTGATCATCAGTTCTTAATCAAATTTCTCCAGTCATCCCAAGATTATCTCTTATTATTCCTTTCTATTTGGTGATTTTTTGTTTTTGAACCAGAATTCAATCTTAGGTCTAAAATTGCATTTAGCTGTTCTGTTTTGTGTCGTCTCTTATTCGAGAACAGTCCCTAGCTTGAAGTTATTTTGAAATACAAACATTGAGGAAGACTGTGATAAGTAGGAAACTGTGCTGGTTTTTCTTCTGATTAGCATATACTTCTCTTGTAAGAGTTTCTCATACATCATGGTTCTCAGTTTCTCTACTGAGAAGATGTAGAAGTGGTTGACAGTTGAATTTTAATTTTTAAAACTCCCCATAAGAATATTTGGGCTTCCCTGGTGGCTCAGATAGTAAAGAATCTGCCTACAATACAGGAGACTAATCCCTGGGTTGGGAAGATCCCCTGGAGGAGGGCACGGCAACCTACTCCAGTATTCTTGCCTGGAGAATCACAATGGACAGAGTACCCTGGCAGGCTACAGTCCATGGGGTCGCAGAGTCGGACACAACTGAGAGACTTTCACTTAACTAACTTCTTCAAAACATCTGTTAATTATTCATAATTATCCATGAGTTACGCATAATAAAGGGCTTCCCTGGTGGGTCAGGTGGTAAAGAATCCACCTGCCAATGCAGGAGACACTGATTCAATCTCTGTGTGGGGAAGATCCCCTGGAGGAGGGCATGGCAACCCACTCCAGTATTCTTACCTGGAGAATCCCCATGGACAGAGGAGCCTGGCGGGTTACAGTCCACAATTGCAAAGAATTGAACATGACTTAGCAACTAACCACACACGTCTTATTTTTTAATTGTTCACTTAATATTTATGCCTCTCCTGTTTCCACAAGTACTGTAGATACTTTGAAGTAAACAAGTACAGCTGCACTAAAACCCAGACCTGGAGAGTCCAGAGTGAGTATATGCAATATATATACTAGGTGTGGCTGAGCCACGGTCCTGGGTGTTCTTAGAGATACTTCTGGGAACCCATAAAAGTACAGAACTCAGGTCAAAGACATTGGCTAGTTTGGCAAGAAAGGAATGTTATTTCTGGTATTCACTTTTTAAAAATAGATACTTTAAAAAGGGTCACTGCACAGCAGAATGTATGATGTCCTCAGAGGCTCCTTTATACAAGAGACAGCAGTGTACCATGTGGCCACAGACCTTTCAGAACATCAGTGAGTAGTTTCAACAGCACAGAAAGTCTGCTGCTTTTAACTTTTCAAGTATTTGAAAATGTGTCCGAATTAAAGGCCTTGTAGTGAAAAGTGGAGCCACAAGTGAGTGCGTCATGTATGTGGAGTAGACTGTTGCTGCCCAAAGTTGTGAACTCCATGTAATGTAAATAATAGTCAGATTCCGCCTACCCCCTTTTCTATGCCATTTTTGTCTTTACAGTTCTCCTGGAATTTCTAGTCAACCTCATGAATGATATGTGAAGTACTCTACAACTTTCCAGAATATTTAAGGATATAAAGTATGCACCCTCCATTTAAGGAATCAGAGATTGGATTCTACTCACATAATGTATAATAAACCTGTCCTGTAGTCTCCCTTTCCAAGCCTTACCCTCCCTTCTGCTCTTCTTCCCAATTCATGGGGGTGCACGCATGCTCAGAGAGCTGCCACTCTCTTTATATGCATACCACCAACTCTTTATAACTTTTAAAATTAATTTATTTTAATTGAAGGATAATACTTTACAATATTGTGGTGGTTTTTGCCATACATTGACATGAATCAGCCATGGGTGCACATGTGTCCCCCCATCCTGAACCCCCCTCCTTCCCCACCCTATCCCTCTGGGTTGTCCCAGAGCACCAGCTTTGAATGTCCTGCTTCATGCACTGAATTTGCACTGGTCATCTATTTTACATATTTTACATGTTTCAGTGCTATTCTCTTAAATCATCCCACCCTTGCCTTCTCCCACATAGTCCAAAAATCTGTTCTTTACATCTTTGTCTCTTTTGCTGCCTTGCATATAGGATTGTCATTACCATCTTTCTAAATGCCATATATGTTAATATACACTATCTGTGTTTCTCTTTCTAACTCACTTCACTCTGTATAATAGGCTCCAGTTTCATCCACTGCATTAAAACTGACTCAAATGCATTCTTTTTATAGCTGAGTAATATTACATTGTGTATGTGTACCACAACTTCCTTATCCATTCATCTGCCAATGGACACCTAGGTTGTTTCCATGTCCTAGCTATATATATATAAAGGCACATGCAGATGCTAAGGTGCTGATCTCTCTGGAAGTGACAGCCTCAGGAATACAAGAGTCTTTGGGCCTCACCTCATCTGTTCAACACTATTCTGTCTCTGTCTTAACTCTTCTGTGAGGTTTGCTGGCTCAGTAGACAGCTGCTCTGTATCCAGAACATCGAATTTTATTAGGAAGCAGCGTAGCTCTCTGCTCTCTGCCCTCAGCCTCTAGTTTTTAGCAAAGTATTTCCTCAATGATCATATGCCATCTTTTCTATAAACCAAGTCCTACCTTTTGTATACACATTAGGTTGCTGCCCAGAGCTGAAAATATGAATTGAAAGTTAAACCAGACCCAGGAATCCCCCTCCCAAGAGAGTGACTTTTCGATGCAGATTCTAGATGCTGTGCTTGTGTTCTTGGCGCCCGGCTGATTCATAAGGAACCTGCGAAAGTCCCTAGATTTTTTTTTTTTTTTTTTTCAGATAAACAACAATTAAACCAGGGAAATCTGAAATCTCTAAACTTTGGCAAAACTCATTTTAATGACTGCATCGAGTGTATTTAGTATAAATGAATTTTAAAGTGTTATTTCTCTTAGAGACCAAGATTTTTTTCCCCAATTACGGTGTAGATTCTACTATGGTGAAGGCTGCTGCTAAGTCACTTCAGTCATGTCCAACTCTGTGCGACCCCATGGACAGCAGCCCACCAGGCTCCCCCGTCCCTGGGATTCTCCAGGCAAGAATACTGGAGTGGGTTGCCATTTCCTTCTCCAATGCATGAAAGTGAAAAATGATAGTGAAGTCACTCAGTTGTGTCAGACTCTTAGCAACCCCATGGACTGCAGCGTACCAGGCTACTCTGGCCATGGGATTTTCCAGGCAAGAGTAGTGGAGTGGGGTGCCATTGCCTTCTTCGACGGTGAGGACTGCTAACCCTTAAACCACTGGGGAGTGAGCTGCCTAAGCCCATTTATAGGTGGGTGTTTTCACTTACTAAGTCCACAAGACTGCGCCGTCCACACTCAGCTGAATCACAGATACAAAGCTGACTGTGACACACATCTTCAACGGTGTTTGATTTAGTTCAGATTTCAAGAAGGTGAATGACTGTGGGAAAACACATCAGATTTTTAAGGTTCTTGATTTAAACTGACACTGCTTTCCACACAGGTTCACCAGTGTAACCAACAGCTATTTCACTAGTACATGGTAAATTTATTTGGAAAAGATGGACTTTTCCTATTTTTGATACCTTGATTCTATAACTTATGTCCCTCACTTTTATTAAGAACAGTTTTAAAAACTTTATTTGAAGAGGCTTTTTGGTGAAAATGTGTAGAGCAACTAAAGAGAAACTCTAAGAAGAGGTCAAATGTTTAAAAAACTGAGGTTTGTTTGTGAGGCTGTTTTTGTTTTGCTCATGTGTTTTTACATGGGAGCTCATTTCAGTTAATGTTAAAGCAGTTCCACATGTGAACATCTGCCTGGTTGCTGTGCAGGCAGCCTGAGCAGGGCTGCAGCGCCAAGAGGCACGGGTGTGTGCTGCCACACAGCATCCTCAGCAGGAATCTCACTTCACTTCACAGCTCCAGGCCAAGTTTGAGCACCTTAAAAGAGTCCACCAAGAGGAGAAGCTGAGGCTGGAAGAGAAGAGAAGACTTCTGGAAGAAGAAATCATCGCTTTCTCCAAGAAGAAAGCTACCTCTGAGATATACCAGAACCAGACCTTTATGACCCCAGGCAGCAACCTGAGGAAGGACAAGGACCGCAAGAAGTAAGCCCTTCCCTTGGTCTGACCCTCCCAGCCTCAGTGCCCCCTCTTCATGACTCTTTGGCCTGTCTCCTTATTCCCCTCTGTCTCTTGCACTGAAACAAAAGCTCCATGAGAGCAGAGCCCTGGTCCCTCCCAGTGTGCGGATTCCCCAGCAGCTAGAAGGGTACCTGCCACATGTCTAGTGCTCTGTGCACATCTGAGTGAATGTTTGCATGAATGTGTGAGTGAACACAACACAAATTTGCCACAACGTGGGAGGGTCTGTGACCTGAGGGCACTGTCCACTCCAGGACATGTCTAGTAACTACTGACCTCTTGTCAGTTCTGTCGACTTTCATGCCTGACAGAAGCTATATACTTTGCTGGGGAAATTAGAGACATAATACTTGATAAAAAATTAATTCTTAGGTTTACTTCTTTTAAACAAATTCCACTAATGATTTTGTGAGAATTTTTATTTTAATAAGGGAACCAGGCTATCGATTGGAACTCCTGTGCTTTGATGTCAGAGCTTGTGAAACGATTGGTGGACGTAAAGATGCAGAGGAAGGTAGAGAGGGACCCCGTGCGCCAGGGCGGCCTTGATAACAGGTGGAGGATGGCGCCAAGGCTTGTAGGTCTGGGGTATGTGTTAAATCAGTGTAACCAAAGTCTTAGAAAATAAGGTGGTTTTCCCTCCTTTGTATTTTTTTACTGTATTTCTCCCCCTTGATTGTCCTCCTCAGTTCGCCTGTTGGCACACTCTGCTGAGCATCCAGCCCGCCTTGTGGCAGCTTAGATTCTCCTGGGCCTCACAAGGCAGTCCTGGGGTTTCTTTTATCACCACATTGTATTTCAAACTGGTATTGTCAGAATACTTTATAAGTCACCTTCAAAAAGTTAGGAAAATATAACACTGCCCGTGATAGCTTTCCATTTTTGAACTATGGAGAGTTAAATCCACAGGGTTTGGAGTGGATTTAATTGGCCTGTGGACGTTATGGTTTGTGGGAAGAAGGAATTCTCATGTATAATCTTTTAATATAAGCTCTTCCAGGGAGTGGATCTCTTTTGTTGGCTGATGTATCCACCCTCAGTTCCTAGAACAGTGCCGGATACCAAAAAGGCATGCAGTTATTGGTGGAAAAAATGAATACCCTGAATTTCAAAACATAAACCACCCCATTATCTGTGGGGGACTGGTTCCAGGAAGACACCAAAATCCACTGCTGCTCAAGTCCCTCATATCAAATACAGAGTTTTTGCACAGAACCTATGCACATTCTCCTGTACATGTTAAATCATCTCCAGGTTTTTTCTAACACCTAATACAATGTGAACAGAATATAAGTGCTAGGCAGATACTCGCCAGCAAGTAGCACATTCAAGTTTGGTTTTTTGGAACCTTCTGGAATTTTTTTCCCCAATACTTTTGATCCTCAGTCAGTTGAATCCTCAGATGTGGAACCCTCAGATCCAGAGGGCCAACTGTTTACATATAATTTATGACTTCTTTTCAGTGTGTCTTGAATTATAAAGCTAAGGGGCCTTTCACCTTCTCATCATCTCGACTTAGTCCAGTTTTACTAGACTTGAACTCCCCCACTTCATTTCATACTTGAAAAACCTTTACAGTCACCTTGTGAAACTAAGGTATGGGCTGCTGTTTGCAAAATCAGGGCCAAGCCCACAGTTTACGAGCTCAGAAAAATTTACCCTCAAGAAATGTGTTTGTTTTTTCTTTTCCAGAGTCCCACAGCTAGATATCCTATCATATACTAGATGTGTATCTGTAAAAACTTTGTAAAAGAAGTGATTTTTATTTCCTATATGGTTTTCTATTGTACCAAACAAAAGGTTTCTTTTCTCTTTCCAGCTCCAATTTTATGTAAAACAAAGGTTCCAGATCACAGAAGGTCATCACAAGCAAAAGCTATTAAAATGTTAGAAGTATGCTTTGATTTTCTTGCTGTTTTTATTTGATGTATTACTTATGCTGTATTACTTATTCTTTATCTGGCAAATGGCCACAGTTACTGCCATTTATGGGAAAATACTTTTAAGTATGAGGTCAATATATAAGCCAGACTTGATGGTATTATTCACTGTTAGTAGTTTAAGATAAGTTTGTGATGAATTGAGATAATTTCCCCTGCTGCCCACTGCCTGTCACTATACTGTGACAAGAGTGTCTGTTGGTGGCTTTGAAAATACAGGACTCATATATATTAGGCTCTGATTGCATATATATTCCAAGAAAAATCTTTTGTGTACATACCAAAGGTATGTAAAGGTAAACTTTGGGGAACATGTTTTAAAATGTATTATGTACCTGAAACTCCAGCAGCTCAAAACTTTTAAAGTTTTGATACAATTATCTAGTCGGAAACATGATCCTAAGCTTTTGTATCAGATTACATAATATGTGCTTCAGCATTGTGGTCCATGTGTTGTTGTGATATGTTTAACAGCAGAAACACTCAGGTAAATAAGCCCTTTTCTAGTGATAAGTAACTTTAGAACTGGGTGTCCTCACACTGTGTGCATTAGTCTGTATTACATAATTGTTTAAAACTGTCTTCCAGGGTAAATAAAGTTAAATCATCTTACTAAAAATGTTTCTTAAGAAAACAGCTATGAACATCTGAATATTAAAGATAAAAATTTAGGTAATTCATATTGTAAAGGATATTTGAATTCAGTGCCTTAGCAATTGCAGAACAATTTAATGGTTTCTAACTTTTTCTTAACATTCATTAAGTTTTCACTTTTTGTACCTGAATATTCTAAATGAAACTGATATTTACTCTTGACAAATAAAATGTATCTACATATTTACTAAACTGTGTTTAAATCACTTTAACTTTTCTTTTTGCAAATTGATCTTAAACACTTTATCAGAACTAGTTAATTATATGTTTGAGTTATTTTAAAACAGAGGTGGATGATCAGTACTTCTCAGACAACAGAATGTTTTACATGTCAGATTCTGAGCAGTGTATTTTTCACGAATTTCTGTTAAGTCACAAAAGAAACCTTTCATTTTGTAGTATAGCTTATCCGGACCAACACTTTAAATTTTATTTTTTAAAGTTCACAAATGTCTCTTAGCCCTTTAGAACTTTAGTAACATAAGTTATAAGTATCACAGAAAAAGCTCTGCACTTTCTTCTCAGGATCAGTAATGCCCAGCCTCTGGAAGGTGGGAGCAGGAGAGCCGGTGAGTCCCCGCAGGCAGGTAACCTGGCCTCCGGAGCCCGGCCAGTGCTGCAGCGCTGAGCCTTAGCCCAGGAGCGACGCGGCAAGCTCAGTGACCTGATGCGAGTGGTGGGTGTTCGTAGCCTATTATATCAAACTGTGTATAAACAGCTATCCTGAACCTTAATAAAGTTACTTTTAAGTGCCAGAGTGGTTGTTGGCATGTTACAAAAAGTTATTCAAGTTCCTAGTTGAAAAGATCACGGAAACCTACCTCAGACCCTGAGCTGAACAGAAGGGCTGGCGCCTTGTGCTGCTGGTGACTGTGCTGTGAAGGAGGCTCACCACATGTGCACGCCCACAGTGCGAGTCCTGTATTTGCTTCATCTATCTGCGACTCCCTGTAAGATTCTACTTTAGAAGAGTTGCATGGCAAAGAAAAAATATTGTTTAAACAACTACAGTACAGGCAGACCTCAGAGACAGTGCAGGCTCAGATCCAGACCACCCATCCCATATAGTGAGTATTGAAATAAAGTAAGTCACATGAACTGTTTTTGGAGTGCATGCAAAAGTTATATTTATACTGTGCAGTATTCTTGTGAAGTGTGCAATAGCTTATATCTAAGAAAACCAATATACATACCTTAGTTAATACTCAATTGCTAAAAAATGCTAACCATCCCGAGCCCTCAGCAAGTGTGGTAGTAACATTAAGATCGCTGATCACAGATCACCGTAACAAATATAATAATGAAGAAGTTTGAAACACTGTGAGAATTACCAAAACGTGACAGAGACACAAAGTGAGCAAATGCTGTGGGAAAATGGCACTGACACACCTGCTTGATGAAGGGCTGCCACATGCCTTCAGTGTGTAAAGAACACACACCTGCACAACACAGTGAGGTCTGCCTGGATGAAGCTCAGCTTCTCACAAAGCATATTAGTTCTCCAAGGTTGTAGAGTGAGGTATTATCCACTGGCTTGAAGCAATAAATTTCAGGGAATAAAATAAAGCTAGACCTGTTTTATTATTTTTTTTATAGAGCATTTGAAACATAATTGTCTTTGACTGCCAACCACTAATCTTCTGACCAAGAACTGAATTTTTAAGTTCTTTCACACAGATTCTGATTCCAGGTTCCAAGCATCACATGGAAGATTACTACCCCCATCTGGAAGATGAATTGTTCTAAGTCCTGTTTTCCTATTTGGCCAGGAAATACAGGCACAAACTGATGAGGCCTCTGTGGAGCAGCCTCTTGAAGAAAGGCTCCTGCCCAGGGAGCACAGGAAAGCACCGAGGTGACTGGCCTTGAAGGACTGAAGCAGCTTCAGACGTAGGAGGGGAAGAAGGTGACCTGGGCACCCAGGGAAGCAGCTCAGTGTGAACAGAGGATCAGGGAAACGTGGGGGGCAGGATGTGAGTGAGGGTGGGGGTTTAGAAGGAGGCAGGGAACAGACAAGGAGTTCATAAACCTAACCCATTGAGCAGGAGGAGTCTCGGAGAGGTCTGACTCATGCAGTCAGACACTCATCCAGAGTAGACGGAAAGGTGTGCTAAGGGATGAGCCAGGCCATGGGCAGGGAAACTCAGACTGAAGCCCAGGCCAGTAGTTCCTACCACAGCGTGCATAGGAGCATAACCAGGTTGTGTTTAAATAACACTGAGGCACAAAGGAATATATAGTTAAAAAAAAAAAGTGGCATGGATCAACCTAAATGAATAATGGCTGTGTAAAACCCTGAAAATGTCCTCTGGAGCTAGAAATACAGAGGGAACTAAAGTTCAAGACTTCAGTGGTATGCCAGTTGGGAGTGGGGTGAATGGAGTAGAAGGGTCTTGTGTTAACTGGGAGCAGGTAGAGATCCCCGTGCACCGTAACTTGACATGCAGGAAGAGCATGTAAGTGTGGGGACGATGTGCCTTTCCAGCCAGCAAAAGGAAAACTAAACTGATAAATGATAACCCAGAAGGAAACAAGGAAATAAAACAGATATGACAGTCAAAAAGCATTTAGTAATATGGTAGATTTAGGCCCAAACCAGTAATCACAATTTTTTTTTAGGCAAAAGTTTTTTAAAATCAGCTATGTCACTTTACAAGAAAGGATTAAAGCTTTCTGTCCTGATAGGTAAAGGTACATCATGTGCATTCAACCAAAAGCTGCTCTGCAGCTGTGCGGTACTGTGCTGTTCTTAATCACTCAGTTGTGTCTGACTCTCTGCAACCCCACGGACTGTAGCCCGCTGGGCTCCTCTGGCCATGGGGATTCTCCAGGCAAGAATACTGGAGTGGGTTGCCAGGCCCTCCTAGCTGTTCAGCTACATTCTCTATAGAAGGCATCACTTCTACAGGATGAAGACAGCCTTGCTTGGGGGCATCGTGGCCTCAGGGGCAGGAAGAAAGCAACAGCTGGTGTAGGCGCCTCAGGTCTGCAGTGTGTGGGGGTGATGTGTCTACAGAAGTCTGTAAAACTCATGCAACTAAACACCTTAACAACCTTAACAATGAAGCCTGATAAAAACATTCTGAGAAAGGACAAAATAATCTAATCTCATATATGAGCAAAGATGCAAAAATCCTAAACAGGTTACTGAAAACTAAATCCAGAAATATGTATTTAAAAAGACAGTTCCTCATATCCAGGAATGCAATGATGTTTTAACAGTAGGAAATTAACCAGTGTAACTCAGCATGAACATTAAAAATCATATGGTCATCCCTGTAGAATCAGAAAATATTAATAAAATGTAGCATCTTCAATATTTTTTAAAAAGATAAAAGATTCTTAGAACACTGAATAGAAGGAAACTTCCTCAATTTGATAAAGAGTGCCCACAAACAGCAACCCAGAGCAGGCATCACACTTAAGGCTGGAGGCAAGGAAGAGTGGCAAGACTGTCCCTTCTGTTAAGACACGTCACTGAAGCCAGCAGTCACCTCTGGAGGCAAAAAATTAAGATGATCTCAGTTCTCACAGGTGACATGGCTGTGTCTGCAGCGAGTCCACCTGAAGCAGTGGTCAGGGCACTGAGCACCGGGGTCAGGAGTCCACAGGGTCATGGGCACAGATACCCACCTGATGACAATGCGGCTGGCCACTGGGCAGGCTCGGTGCCTGACACTCTGTTCTCACTAAGCAGAGAATCTCAGCTCTTGAAGCTGTGTCCTCAGCTCTGTCCCGCCTACTCTGTATGGCCTCGACAACTGCCCTTCATTAACTGGCTTGTGCTCAGGTTCTGCTGCCCCCAGGCCTGTCCAACTATGGTTCGAAGTCAAGGTCCTCCACAAGGCCAACCTGCTCTCTGGTGCGTGTACGTGGCCTTTGCCTCTGTGAGGGAGTCCCAAGCAGTCTTTGCTTCAATTCCTGCCTCTGCGGAAACTGTCACTTGTGTGGGCAGAGTCGCCACAGGCCAGGATTGCCCACCACAGAGCTGCGTGATCCCAGACCTTCAGTTCTCCTGCCCAGGCTCCCAGGGAAGAGCCGACCAAACAAGTAAACCACCCCAGGGCACTGCCCACTGCACGGCCCCTCACGGCTTGCTACAGCTGCTCCTACTGCGGGCCTCCCACTCCCAGTAGCTCTCAAGACTCTTGGGCTCCTCTTTGGACTTTGGGAAGCAGGCAGGCTGTGCTGCTGCCCCACCAGAAGGATCAGCAAAGAGGGTCCAAGGAAGGTCCAAGGAAGAGAGACCTGTGCTCATGGAGGTAGAACAGGAGTCAGAGTCTGGTCTGACCTGTCTCCTCCTGTGATGGTGGCCATGCCAGGCAAAGGAAGCCTGGCACTTCTGAGTCTTTCCAAGCAAACAGTGAAGCTTTCTGTCCATAATACTTGTCTCTGGATGTCTTATGCATCAACACAGGCTGCTCCACAGAAAGAACGTCTCCAGGAAGCAGTGAGCTGAGGGTCACGTTCTGGGCATTAGGAAATAGCTTATCAAGTCCCCCATGTCAAGAGAACAGGAGCAGAAGGCAGGTAGCCTCTGAATCAAAGCCAGGGCCTGCCCCAGATTCCGTTTTTACTCCCCTTTCCCTATTTCCCTGCAGAATTGTTGACTACAGTGTTTAAGGTGTTACCCCACACAGGAAAAATACTAGCTTTAAAAAGAGATGCTTGCAAAGAAGAAATACAGATGGCTAATAAACACATGAAAAGATGCTCAGCATCACTCATTATTTCAGAAACGCAAATCAAAACTACCATGAGGTATCATCTCATGCTGGTCAGAATGGCCACCATCAAAAAGCCTATAAACAGTAAATGTGGGAGAGGGTGTGGAGAAAAGGGAACCTTTTCACACTGTTGGTGAGAATGCAAATTGGTACAGCCACTATGGAGAACAGTGTGGAGATTCCTTAAAAAACTGGAAATGGAACTGCCATATGAGCCAGCAATCCCACTGCTGGGCATACACATCAAGGAAACCAGAATTGAAAGAGACATGTACCCCAATGTTCACTGCAGCACTATTTACAACATCTAGGACATGAAAACAACCTAGATGTCCATTGGCAGACAAATAGATAATATTACTCAGTTATAAAAAAAAGAATGCATTTGAGTCAGCTCTAATGAGGTGGATGAAACTGAAGCCTATTACATACAGTGAAAGTAAGTCAGAAATTGAAACATTAATACAATATATTAACACATATATATGGAATTTAAAAAGATGGTAATGACGACCCTATATGCAAGGCAGAAAAACAGACACAGATGTAAAGAACAGACTTTTAGGCTATGTTAGAGAAGGCAAGGGTGGGATGATTTGAGAGAATAGCACTGAAACATGTATATTACTGTATGTAAAATAGGTGACCAGTGCAAGTTCAACGCATGAAGCAGGGCACCCAAAGCTGGTGCTCTGGGACAACCCAGAGGGATGGAATGGGATGGGAAGGAAGGCGGGAGGGCGTTCAGGATGCGGGGGACACATGTGCACCCATGGCTGATTCATGTCAATGTATGGCAAAACCCACCACAATATTGTAAAATAATTAGCCTCCAATTAAAATAAATTAACTAATTAAAAAAAAAAGACGCTTGAAGAAGGAAACATCTTTGACACTCCAAGGAGTCTGAATGGTGGTGTTACCGAGTTCACGCTCATCCTGCTCTCAATACAACAGGTCAATAAATCAAGAGACGAGATGTTGGGACAAGGAGTAGTGACTTCATCTGAAAGCGAGCACACTGAGAAGACGGTAGGCTTGTGCCCCAAAGAACCGTCTTGGCTGAGTTAGAATGCAGGCCCCTTTTATACTAAAGGGGAGGGAGTAAAGTCAGACACTTTCGGATTCCCATTAGCCTCCAGAAGGGACATGTGAATTTCATCCTCCTACACTAACTCACAGGTAGGCCTAGTCAGGAGGGTTCCTGGAAGGTATTTTAGCTTACTGCTCATTACCTGGGTTCCCAGAGATGGGCCATTATGTAGAATTTAGGCTTATAGTAAACATCCCTTTAGTGACTAACATAGAATACAAGTTAATTCTATTAAGAGGTTTTTCCCTACTATTAGAGAAACTAGGTTAAGAATAAATAAAGATCTCATCAAGAACAATGCCAACCAACAGACAATACTTTTTCAAATGCTAAATAAAAAAGAGAACCTAGAATTCTATGCCAGTAAAAATACCTTTCAAAAATATAGGCAAAAGAAAGACATTAAGACAAGCAACAGCTGAAAAATTTCACTGCTAACACACCTGGATGACATGAAATGTTAAAGGAGGTGATTCAGGCAGAGGGAAAATGACACCTAAAGGAAGTCAAATTTACACAAACGAACTGGAAATGGTAAATATGTAACTTAAAACCTTCTTTCCTAGTTTAAAAAGTGCTTTGATATCATACTACTATGTATAAAATAGATAACCAACAAGGACCTACCACAAAGCACAAGGAACTATACTCAATATTTTGTAATATAAAGAAAAAGAATCTGAAAAAAAATAGATATAATTGTATCTCTGAATCACTCTGCTGTACACCTAAAATACACACAATACTGTAAACCAACTATATACTTCCATATAAAAATCTTTTAAACTGCTTTAAGATAATCAATTGTTTAAAGCAAAATCAAAACAGACTATGGGCTTTTGTAACACACACAAAAGAAAAACACATGAAAACAGCAGCCCGGAGACTGAGGGCAGAATTGGCGTATTTGAATAATAAAAATGCTCACAAAACAAGTGAAGAGGCATAATGTGTATCTTTAACACCAGAATGACTTAATTATCAATGATAACTAAATATACATATTGTAAACCCAAAGCAATCACAAAATTTTAAAACAGAAGTATGCCTGGAGTCAAAAAGGAAATAAAATTCCTTTTTATTTTAGGAAAACAGAAAAATAACAAATCCAAAGGAGTCAGGAAAAGAGGGAGAAAAAAGAAATAATGAACTGATGAAAAACAATAGCAAGATTGTAGATTTAAATCCAATTACATTGTTGTGACCAGTCAAAACACTCCAATGTTAACAGGCAGAGACTGTCAGGTTGGATTTTAGAAGATACTGTTATACACTGTCTGCTAAAACACTACTTTAAATGTGAAGACAGAGTAAAAGGATGGAAAAATATATCTCCTGAAAACATGAATGAGACAAAAACTAAAATGGCAGCATAACCAAAGGGGTTAGTCGCTCAGTCGTGTCCAGTTCTTTGTAACCCCTTGACTGTAGCTCGCCAGGCTCCTCTGTCCATGGAATTCTCCAGGCAAGAATACTGCTGTAGGTTACCATTTCCTCCTTCAGGGATCTTCCCATCCCAGAGACAGAACCCAGGTCTCCTGCATTGCAGGCAGATTCATTATCCTCTGAGCCACCAGGAGGGAGCATAACCAAGACAAAGTCAATTCAGAACAAGGAACTGCATACGGATAAAGGGGTCATTTCTGAATGATAATGGGGCCGATTTGCCAGGACAATCTATCAACCATGTGTGTTTGCACCTAACAACTAAGTAAAAGTACCCGATGAAAAAACTGATAGAACTTAAGAGAGATCTGCAGATATCATAGACGTTAAAAGAATAAACCCACCACTGTGACTGGAAACGCCAAGGTTCTCTCAGTAATTGATACAACAAAAATCTATAAAGCTAAGATTTAAACAACACTGTCAATCAGTTTGATCTAATGGA